GGGCGGCGGCGCAGACGGCTCTCCGCCGCCGACGCCTTGAGGGTCGCGCGCGGCGTCTCGGTCATCACGTCCCACAGGCGGACGCAGCAATCGCCCGAGCCGGTCGCGAGGGTGCGCCCGTCCGCCGAGAACTGCGCCGATAGAATCGCCTCCGAGTGGCCCGACAGCGTCGACGTGCAGCGCGTGACTGCGCGCACGCGAAAGATTGCTTGCGGCACGTACACGACCCGCAGAGTCTGCTCGGCCGAGGCGGAGCCGAGCGCCTCGCCGAGCGTGCCCGAGACCTCCTCCTCCGCCACGTAGAAGGCGTACGGGACACGATCCTCGTTGCCCAGCAGCTCGTTCAGGATGAGCTGCAGCTGCGGCGCCGTCGTGTCGGCCGGCACGTCGAGCTGCGGTCCCGTCCGCTCGCCCTCGGCGGTCTCGAACTGCGCGATGAGGGTGCCGCCCGCCGCTGGCGCGGCCGACTGGTTCGCAATGTCGCGCGGCGCCGCCGCCGTCACACCACGCCTGGTGCATGCTGCCTCGAGCTCCGCTCGTGTCCCGGTGGCAGGCGCGCCGTGCGAGGAGGCCAGCTGGCGGAGCTGCGATATGCTGAGCTGAGAGAGCGGCACCGGCGCGGCACCGGGAACGTACGACGACGGGGCCGCGGGAGGCTCCGTGGTCATCGCTCAATTCGGTGCGAGCGGGGGGCTCGTGCCGTCGAGCGAAGACACAAGAAATCGTTTGTCAGATTCTTTCTGAGCGTAGCCTTCGATGTTATGAAAACAAACGCAAGGCGGACATGGCATATCGCTCTCGGGCTCACAGACATCCCTCACACCCGCGCACACCCGCCGCCCCCGCGCGCGCCCCACCCCGGCCGGGAGAAAGGGGAGTGACAGTTTGGGACTCGCAAGCCCGAGTATGTTGAGTCCTGGCTCAACAACGCAGATAACAAGAGGGGGTGGTCCGGCTCACAGGTCCGGCTCACGCGCCTCGAGCTCGCCATCTACCGCACTGAACACTTCCGCCCCCTCGCTCCCAGCCCATCCACCCCGCCCCGGGCCGCGCCGCGCGATCTCGGGCGATCTCGCGCTATCTCGGGCGATCTCGGGGCCGCGCCGCGCTATCTCGGGCGATCTCGGAGCGTCGCTCGCGCGGCGTCACACCTGCTCAAAAAGGAAGGAGGTTGGAGGCAGGAGGTCACGCCCCATCCAGAGCGCCGCCGTCGCCGGGTTTTTGGCCCCCGGGTCGTCGCCCGACGGTTGCTGCGCGGGGCAGCAGACCGTCGGACGGCGCGACGACGCCCCGTCCGGCACGCTCCCCCCTCCACCCGGCTATTGCCGCACGAGCGCCCTCAGCGGCGGAATTTTTCCCTCGCGCTTCCTTGGGCCCCCGGCAACGCCGACGGACTTCCCGTCCCCCCACCTGCGCCGCAATCACCGCCGTGATTGTCGGCGCTGCGCCCCTTGGCGCCTGTG